GAAGCAACGGAAATGTGGTTTCTTAGGAGACTGCTAAGAGTATCGTGGAAGGAAAAGAAATCAAATCAGGTAGTGCTTGGTAAAGTACACGTGCGACGCTCACTGTTAAAAACAATCAGGAAACGACAAGTGCAGTTTTTGGGACACCTGAATAGACATAAGGGCCTTGAACATCTAGCTCTCACTGGTAAAGTTGAAGGCAAACGAGGCAGGAGTAGGCCCAGAGCAACATACTTAGGGAACCTAAACAAATGGGTAACAGTGAAAAATCAGGAAAACGTAGATTTTTAAGAACATCGGAGCAAAGAAATGCATGGAGAACCATGATCGCCGATGTCTGTCTCAGATCTGGCACTGGATGATGATGATGATGGTGGTGGTGATCACCCTGGTAGTTGCAGATATTGTTAATGCCACGTTGGAAAATGCATGTAGGTTGGCGGATCGAAAATGTTGGCGTCTAAAAGTTGAAGGTGGCTGAAGTGGGTAGCTGGCTGTAACAAGGTTGGCAAGCGCTGCTCAAGGCGCGCTGGTGTGGTTTTCTCCTTCTTTTCTATCGAAAGATTTATCGTCCTTATCTCTCCTTCTTTTCTATGCATGTAACTGGCTGGTGGTTTGCTCCTTTTTTCCCTATCAAACATCCATTGTCGTTATCTCTCCTCCTTCTTTTTTGTGTCTGTTACTCTCTTGTAACATCTCTTATCTTTGACACTTGTATGACCTTAATGTATTGCAAGTGCCATAAAACTCGTACATTGGGTGGTTGGTGGGTGCTCTGGTGTGCTTTGCTCCTTCTTTCTTGTCAAACATCTATTTTCCGTATCTTTCCTCCTGTTTGTGTATGTTACTCTCTAGTAACAAAGGAATGAATGGAAAATCATGATCGCCGATGTCTGTCGCAGATCTGATGACTCTCTAGTAACACATCTATTCCTCAGCACTTATATGACCTTATTGTGTTGCAAGTGCTGTAAAAACTCTTACTAAAAACTAAAACTAAAACTAAACTCTTACTAAAAATAAACATCTGTAATCTTCGGTGCTAAAGCAAGATAATATTTATGTTGTACGTGCTGTAACACTCTCTAATTAAGATGAAAACTATTACCCCCCCCCCCTTTTTTTTTTAAACACCCGGTCAGTTCATGGGGTGCTGTGTGAACATTCAGGGGACAGCAACAGGTGGCGTAAACCCCCTGGCATTGAATGATACGTGTGCGTCTACAGGG